CAACTAATAGCCTGGGGACTGTAAACAAGTTTAAATATCAAAACAATTTGACTGGTGATTGTCTGTGATTATGGATTAAGAATACAAAATTTGTGCTCACTGATATTCAAGCTAGATTGAACAAAAGGCGCCAGATCCTCAGCTGGTGTAAACAGAGATAGCTCAGCTGAACTCAGGGGAGGGAGCTGCTTTGTACCAGCCAAGCTTCTGACCCTGGGAGCTTTTCAGAAGTTTTCATTCTTGTTTTTCAATGTACCAGATAATACATGACAGCACGGGCTGATCAGGAGCGCTGAGGGGCCCCAGCAGAGCCTGGACCGTCCTCCCCTCCTCTGAAATCCCAGGAGCTCTGCTTCTGCAGTCTGGGCCCTCCACTTGCAGCCTCTTTGGGGAGCTCATAAATAATGACTTAGAAGAGCAATTATTTAAGATTACAAAACTTTCTCAAGAGCAAGTCAAGGTGCCAGCATACTCAAAAGGTGACAGATATATCAGGGCAGGTACTTTGTGAGGGATGTGCTTTGTATCTTCAATGTGACAAACACAGTGCAGTACATTCACAAACGTGCACTTGCTGCTGCCTTTGCCAAAGCCCTGTCACTAAACCATCATCTTTAGCTCAGTCACTGCTCATGCTGAAAGTGAAGAGACGAGTAAGGATTACCTCCTTTTGCTAGAAATGCTTCGCCTAGTTCACTGGACTGTTTGCAATGACAGTGATGTGCAACAGGTCCCACAGATCTGAGGAAATAGTAGAGGTTGTATTTTATAGCACTGTTGGATTGGATGATGAATCTTACAAAATCAAGTAGGAAACACATTAATTTTGATGTGGTAGGAAAGTGCTTTCCTGATGAAATAGTAATTAAATAAGGACAGTTATTAAAGAACTGGTAAATATAGTGCTCTTTATCCCTCTTATCTCAGCAGTTCTAGCAGCAGTTCTAGACAAGGAGAAGGAGTGTTTCTGACAAGCATGAAGTCCCACCAGAAAAATATAAAGGGAGTAATGTGTCATAAGAATCTTAACAATATGAAACAATGTCAAATAAATGAAATCAATTTTCAGAAGATAATAATAAAGGCTGAAAAAAGGTACCCAGAAAGCCAGAAGACTTTTCTATTTTCTTAATTGGGGTAATTATACTAAAACTGACAGCAAATATTTTGCCAGTAGCAAAAAACACCCACAAACCCCAGCAAGCAAAAATAGTGCCCTGAGCATGAGATCTGTGAAGGTTAAAGGCTTGAGTCTGTTATTGGGAGATTGGTCCTTTTCTCCCAAGGTCAGTCCTTAAATGTGGAGAAGTAATTTTGGTTCCGGTCTCACAGTTCAAAGTAAATGCTTACTTTGATTTCAACAGTGCTATCTTTGGCAAGGTACTAATATAATTGTTTTTGGTCCCAGTCTTGTCCTGTTTGAATGTTAAACACGCCCATTGTGCTCTCTTTCTCTCATAGTTTAGGTGATGTATAAAACAGCAAGCAGTGTGGACTGTGCCGGTGTCCATGCTGTAAGTGTGGAGGGGGTTTTACTTCAGACCAGCTTTTGTCTGGACCCCTGCTCCCATGGACCAAAATTTCTTTTATTGTTTTTATAGCACATGAACTGCTCCTGGAGCACATCTTTGGGTATAGTTTTGTCCAAAAAGGGTGTGGTTCATACAGTCCCAGGCTGCATCACAGCGCGAGCCAAATACAGCAAATAGGCATGACTGGAGCAACAGAGGCGACCTCCAAAACATCACACTGTGCATCAGCTCATGTATAAACTCGCAATTGCTGTTACCTCCTTGTTGTTCCTTCCTCTTCATCATGACTGCCCCAGTCACCAGCCTCTCCACGCTTATTTCACCACACCACACTGGGGACCTTCCCCCTTAGTTAAGGCCCCTTAGTGGGACAGGAATAATCTGGCAGTGTGAGTTGTGTTGGCAGTGTTTGGATTTGAAACCACTCAGTATCTCCTTGCTAATAATTAGAATTTGCAAAGAGGAGAAAAGTGATTGTACAACCTCAGATCAGAGATTGTGCAGCCCAGGGACCCCCTCACTCACAGTAACCAGTAATGGGTGCCTGGGAAAAACTTTAATGACAAGGCAAGGATGTGGTGGTACTTCCCCAGCATACTTTCTTAGCTTCCAAAACTTTCACAACTCAAGGATTTCCTAAGCCAGAGGCTTTGTCTTTATATCTAATATCCTTTTATATATTTTTTTATTTTGTGAATTATTTCGTTACTTTTTAGATTTGTGTTCAATTTAGGGTCTTCAGTGTCCTGCAGGAAGGAGTTTGACACTTTGACTTCATGATGCAGAGTTTGGATTTATTCAGAAAAGACTGGTGATATTAATAAGAGGGGTTCAGATGCCCCCATGCTGCCTCTGCTCACATTAATTCTAGAAACAGGATTGTTTAGCACATGTGATGTAGAGTCACCGTGCTCAAGTTAAGAGTGCCAGTGGATGTGTGAATCAACCCCAGCTGGGGCTCTGCGCTGCTCTGTGGGGGATTAGGCTGATGTGAATGGAAAACTCTTCCCAAACCATGGGATGTAGAGAGACCCACTGTACCTTCTCTGGCATTTTCCAGAGCCAGAAGGGCTTGGCCCACAAGATGGTTGGGTATGACCATGTTTCTGTGGCAGCCAGAGCAGCTGAATCAAGAGCACTCGGCTCTTGTGGGAATCAGCCAGCAGGGACTTCACTCTCCCCTCTAATCCTTGTGTTCCAGGGCCTGGGATTTTATCAGATCATATTTGTGATCCCACTTGATTTTTCAAATAAACAGTGAAATGCAAACATTTGGCTAGAGGGAAAAACTCCCAGTTACTGAAGAGGAAAAGAACACAATATCCAAATGAGTCATGGCTTTGTGGGTGAAGTAATGACTGCATGTTGTAGCTTGGGATGTGGGTTTGTGGTCCGATACCACATAGAGTAGATGTGCTTGGGCTGTGAGGTTAATGTAAATAGCTTTGGTAGGAATTCTCCTGTGACGTACTAGAGCCAATTTGCTTGTTAAGATATCGCTGACTGTATTGTGGCAATTAATGAGGTAGGGAGGGCACCTGCCAGATGGAAAGTTGAACTAAGGCCTCTGGACACCAGCCAGTGGCAAAGCCCTTCTGCTGTTAAAAGAGGTAGGTCCTGCAGGAGGAGTTGCAGGTGGCTGTGACTGGAGGAACAGTGGGGACCAAGGAGCTTCTGGGGGCTGGAAGAGAACCTGGAGGGGGGGCAGTACCTGGTGCCTCTGCAGCCTTGTTTTCCTGGAGCAGGTTACCCAAGACATACTGGATGAGCATGCCCTGATGTCTGATGCAGTATCTGTCTGCCTGGTGTCCTCTGGGATGTGTGTCTGCTGTGGGTGCCCTCAGGTTACTGACTGCCCCGTTCTTTTCTCTGATGAATCACTAAGGCAAAACATGTAAATGCTAATGTGAGTGTACGTATAAAGGCTGGTGGCACCTCTGCAGACCCCCACTTCTGCCTCGCCACTAATTGCTTGTACGTCATGGGATTCAACCACGACACCCGTTCTAGGCAGTTGCCAGCAGTTGCTCACTGTCCCATATATGAACAACTTGCAGATGTAACAAAACACAGCTTGTTTTGTCTGGGTTCTCTGTTTTTCCTCTTAGTCTCTCCATCACAGGATTTCCTCATCTGTTCCACTCCTTCCATCCTTCTGGTACCCTGGCTGCTGTGCAGTGGCTGCGCAGCCCAGGAGCTGCAGGTCAGGGCTCCCCTCTGGTGATATCTGCTGGGGGGACATGTGCCCATGCAGGTGGTGGCCTTTTCTCGGGGAGCCCTCGGCACCCTGAACACCCACGCTGCATGGGACCTAGTGGTTTTGCTTTGTGGGTTAGCGGAGGGAAGAATGAGGGAAGCAACTGTGTCCTGCTTCTCCTCCAACCAAAGACCTCCTATAGGCGGGAGCGGTTGGGGGACATTTTTTGCTGCATCCTACCACTGCTTCCTGCAGCAGAAACATCATGAGATATGGTTTACAGACTGGGAGTCAACAGCAGGGCATCGCCCGAACCCAGCTGTTGGCAGATCAGTTGGCTTTGGGAAACCAGCCAACCTTTTTCAGTTTTCTGGGGCGCTCTGGTTTGCTTGTGAGATTTGAATTTGCAGCATTAGATAAGCACAGATAAATAGAACTTATCCATTTCTAATTCAAACAATCAAATGTTTACCCAGGTCTCGGCGCCTGGCTGGAAGACCAGGGGAGCTCCTCTGTGGCTCCAGCAGTGCTGGGAGTCAGAGCTGGTCCCACATTTGAAGGCTCTCAGGTTTTTTTAAGCAGTTCAGGGCCTGGGGCTGCTGCTTGGGAAATGGCTGTACCCTCCCTGCAGGCAGATCGATACATTTCAGCTCACTGCACTGCAAGTAACTTTTCATCGTACATTGAGAATGAGGAAAATAAAAGCCAAGATGGATGTTATTTTTGTTTTGCTTTTATTTTGAATTATTTATTGGGAAGTCACTGCTGTCTTCTTTCTCATCAGGAGACAAAATGACTTTGTCTTTGGCGGGTTTTCCTGTTAAAAAGAAACAAGCTCTTACAAGTTTTATTTCCCTCCACTTGCTTTTTAGTACGGAAGTGTAAATCTAGGGTCTCTGCAGCTTGACAAAATGGTCGGCTGCAGTCCTAACGCAGGCGAAGTCCCCACTGATGCCGGTGGCGTCGCACCTCGTTAGTACATGTTTAACTAGTTCTATAACAACATTTCAGATGAGTTACATGTGTTATGAATGATTTCTGGCACATAAGCAGAGAGTGTCACCGAGGGTTATAAGTAATCTACAGGCTAACTGAACTGTGATTTTAATTAAGCATTTACTAAATCGCTGGTAAAAAATATTAATCCTTTTAAAGTGAACTCTTCATATAAAGTGTTATAGGGCAAAAATTTAGCAATTGGCTCCACTGTTAATATGATCTTGAAAACTCAAACTAACAATCCCTTCTAATGTTTTTCTTTCTAAATATAGGTTATCCTGAAGGGGAGGATAAAGAAACTGGCCACCAAGATGGTAATCACTAGTGGAAATGAAGAAGATAAAGGCAGTCAAGAAAAGGAAAGCAAAGAAGAAACCATCTTGGCAATGCTTGGAATTATTGGGACAATTCTGAACCTCATTGTGATCATTTTTGTGTATGTTTACACAACGTTGTAAATTAGAAGGCATGCAAATAGCCCAGATAAAAGGGCCATTAAGATTGACAACAAACATTGCTGACTATTGACAAGTTGTTTAATCAGAATTGACTCTGTATTATATTAACACATCATAAAAGCACTGCCTGCAGGCAGCGAAGGCTGAAGCACAATTAATTTAACAAGACTTTTTCACACAGTAACAAGCTTAACTCTTCTGTCCTGCCCTCTTCCTTTCAGTTTGGTTTTCGGTTGGGGGGGGGAAATTACTGCAATTATGTAAGTTGTAGCTTTGAAGAAATCCACCAGGGATATGTTGTTTTAACATAATTTAAAAAAAAAAAAAAAAAAAAAAAAAGGAAACTGTACACTATATACAATTAGAAATGTATACTGTATACCCACAAAGATTGAACTCAAAAATAGCTTCATAGCACAGATCACGTGTCCGTTAGGTCAAATGATTTTTTTTCTTTTGGTTTTTGCTTTTACTTACATTGAATCTGACAAGCTTTTTATTTAGAATGAACATATGGTGCAATCATGAAAAAAACAATTCCATTGAGCAAGGTCTGCCTAAACCTGATAAAATGTTGGGAGAAATATATTACATGGTTATTTTTCCTTTCTCAATTGCTTAACATTTGTGTCTGTTCATACCAATGTTTATAAATATATATTTTTAATAAATGTGCTATATTTTTAGCATGAACCAAATATTTGGAGACACTTGTATTCATGCAGCTAAATTTTGTTTGATGAAGTGCCCTTTTTGACAATGGATGTTATTTTTCTCAGCAATTATACAGCAGTCTTGTTTGCAGCCCTCTCAATGTGGTCTGAAACAAGCTCACATCATGCTCATATGCATGACTTGAAGTTGGAATGTCAGCTGAAAAGCATTGCTGCTTAATATGGGAAATAGCAAAACATTGTAAGGTGACCTTTGGAGACTGGTTGCAGAAAGAAGGTCCTATTTATAGTTAAAAAAAAAAAAAAAGGAATATTGAGGCATCTCACAAAATATTACAAAATTCACAAAATTTATGGCTTTCAGAATCTGGTCACACTCTCTAAGTACTTTAATTGAGAGAAGCAAGCAGAGGTTTAAGAAACCTCTTTGAAAAGAAAAATTTAGAGAGCTTGTAGCGAGGGGCTTTAGTGAAATCCAGACTGTAAATACAGAGTATATTTTAAATGTGAGCATCATTAACCCTTTATGCTTCTCTGCCATACTTTAACTGAGGTTGGTGCAGTGAAATTCTCTGACTTGTGTTTTTGTCAGGAATGTACGATGATGATGGTCAAAATTTTTATTCAGAGTTCAGTACCTATAAATATGTGAAGCATTAAAAATATGAGACCTTAATTATGCCTCAGGCTGCCTGAGTACGTTATCCATTAACTCTGACATAGCCTCTCAAAAAATAGGTCAATTAATTGTTTACTGACTTGTGGTTTGGATTGTGTCCTCAGATGCACGAGTGGGATTGCTATTGAAGTCAGCTAGAGCTGTAAAAAGTTTGATCGTAGAGTCTCGTTGATTTTAGTGGTCATCCCTGTCACTCTGGAATCAGTAATGATCTTTTCACCTATTTCTGGGGGCTACGAGTGATCTCAGAAATACAGAATTTCATTGCAGGATATAAAAGCAAGCCTGGGGAAAAAAAAAAAAGGTGTTTAGTCTCTTGCGGTACCTCACATTCAATAACAAAACCATTAATAGAAGAGAGGTCAGTAAATAAATTGAAATGAAATCCAATATGAAGACTGAAGGAAAAAAGAGCAAAAATAATCTCATGTTAATGAAAACATGACAAGGAGAGAGAAGTGAGAAAATGTGCAGAGATTTGGACAGAGAACAGCACAGAAAGAGGGTGCCAAGCAGGCCGGGGTGGTTGAGGAAACATTTGTGTTTGGACAGTGCTGGCAGAGCTGCACATCTTGGGGAGAGTGAGAAGCATCAGTAGCACAGTTCAGTGGAGCTGATTGAGGCTGATGTCGCTTTTTTATCTGTATTTATGTATCGGTAATTCTAAGGAATTAGCAAGCTCTGCTTTTTTGATCATTCTGAATGAAAAAAAAAATGGCTAAAATATATTTGCCTCCATCCTGCAGTTTTTCTTTGGGTGAAGCTACTGCTGATTGCAGCATGTGGCAATGGCATTGGTGCTCATGTCCCAGAGCACTCCTGTGCATACCCCAGCCTGCCCCTCATGCTGGCAGGATCCTCTGTGCAGATATTTTTCTTGAAACTCTCCTCCTCCTTCTCCAGCAAACACCAAAACAATCTGTCTGAGGCTTGTACCCATCTTCTAGAGGGGAAGCCTGGAAAAGGGTATTTTCTGAGTCAAGAGATGAGCTCTGATGCCTGGTATTTCTTTGCATCTCTCTACACCAAAGGATACCTATCATCTTCTTACAGGCATGAAGATTCTTAATGAATGGATTTTTATTAATATTACAAAGTAAAGCTCTGCATTGTAAAATGACATATAACAACCTCACCCCCCTAAAGTAAAGTACCAACTTTTGCTCCTGATCGCAGTTGCACTCCTTCAGATATGGGCCAGTATCTTCACCAGGACAGGCACTGAAAGTAGCCCAAACGTGCTTAAGATGCACTGGTGGATCAAAAAGCCTAAGAGCTTTGCGTATACTCTTCCTTTCCCAACAGAAGACCCATTGGGGAAGAGTTTCCAGCCATGGTGTGCTGTTAGCCTTAGGGTAGGCAGTGTGTGTCCAGGTGCCTGCTGCACCGTCAGCAGCCGTGTGCTGTACACACTACCATGGGGCTTCTGTTGCACCCTGAAATAGGAAGAGTGGCTTATCCCATTCCCAAAAAGTTTTAACACTTATATTTTAATTTTACAGGTTTCTGTTCACAGATAGTCCTAGAAATATCATGGGGCTAGTACTTCTTAAGTAGATTCATTAAATATTAATTTAAATAAAAATGAAGGGTTTCCTTTGAGAGCAATTTCTTTACCTTTTATTTGGTATTCATGAAAAGTGATATGGGAAAAGTATGTTTTCAAGAATGGCTGTGGAAGGCTAATGTTTTATACAAGGATCTGAAAGTATGACTACCCAGGCAGCTGCACACAGGCCTGCTTTCGGCTGACTACCAGCTGGAGACAAATTACCCTCATGCTTTTTTATGTGAGCAGTTTTCAGCATGCACATGTAAGAAATATTCAACTAGGTAACATATATATCATGGATACATTATATTCAGTAACTGTGCTATAAATAGTTGAGCAAAACTTCTCATTACAGGTGCTGAATGGTAAATCTGTTTTGGCAAGGAAAAAGCTGATAGTCTCATTTTTGGCTTGACTTGTAGGTAATGCAAATAGTTTCCAAAGTAAATTTTTAAAAATAAAATATTACTCCATTAGTGACAGGAACTTTAATGTTTGCATTTGAGTAGGAGAAAATTAATACCCAATATCTTAATAAGATATGAAACCAAAACCTTTTGCTTCTGTAAACTAAGGCTATCATTGCATTTTAAAATTATCCTATGGAGCTTGATGGTTTATGTTATGGGAATGAAAAATATTTTCCTTAGGTGACAGGAAGGTGACACACTCCCTGCTAGTGTCTGGTGTGTTGTTGGCACAGCACCATGAGTACAGAAGACTTTCAAGAAGGAAGAAGATAAAACTATTTAAAGGACATTATTCTCACAACAAAGTGTGGAGAAAGAAGAAGAATAGGCTACTGTTCTCATCCTATAACTGACACTGAAAATTCGTCATCGCAGGAATCATCTCTTCGTATAGGAATATACCTGCTCATGTGCTGGCTGACAAGGCAGTCCGTCTTGTTATGTACCTTTTGCTCCTTCTGCTTGCACTTCTGCAGCAGTGTGTGGTTCATCACACCTTAGGACACTCTTTACATGTACCCAGCCTGGGACCCTCTGGAAGCTGCTGTTTTGGTTTGTTGGGTTGTAAAGGTCTGTTATGGGCAGAGTTTTATTATTTTAAGGACAGCCAGTAATCATCTTCACTTTGTTGTCTGATAATCTAGGGGATACTTTGCTGGTTGAATTACCCAACCCACACCTACCCTGGCCCACAGGTAAAATTTTGATTCAGTAGACATATGAAAAAAGCTTCAGTCACATTGCGATAAAACTTTAGTATGAAGCATTGGTGAAGTCCAAGTGTCTTCTACTTCCATTTAATCTATATCCTGGAACTCACGCCAAATGCCCCAAGGTCTCATCGATGTCAGGAGGTCTCATAGTTTCAGAGTGAGAATTGACATTTCAGAGTGCATTGTGGGATAAGCAGAGAACTTGGCCCAGAAAGGGGAATGGGGATGTACAGTAACTGAACTAAAACTCCAGGGAGGTAGCTCTGAAGAATTTTCTAATTAAATAGTTTGAGGTTTGGCTGGAGTACTTTGTTTCTGGCTAGCCAGTATTTTACAGAAAAAATATTATTGTTCCTTGGAAAGTTTCTGGAAGAAATATGTCTAATTGAAAGAAAGAAGCTCATTGAAAATGTTTCAGCAGCAATTTCCAGCAGCAACCTTCCAAAGAAAACACCGACCAGGCCTCCGAGTGACTCTGGCTTTCTTCCCAAGAGAACTTTTGGCAGCCCAGGGGCACACTGCACATATATGTAAGCACCACAGTTTGTCTTCTTTGGAGCAGAATGCACAGATATATAAAGAGTTACAAAAGTAAGGAATAGCACCTTATGCAGTCAACAGAAAAAAATGCTGTTCACCTTCATTTCCATCAGATACCCTGCAGCCACCCTGCAGAACCTGCACTGCTTCCATGCCTGGCTGTGCATTTTGGAGGTTCTTCCCAAAGGGTCTTATAAACTCAGTGCAGCTTTCCTTCCCCACCAATGATCCAAGAGAAACAAAACCTGTTCAGTGTGGAAACTTCCATGCCGGGCTGAAATCCCACATACATCCATATGCACTTATCTACATATGAACCATCTGGTATCTAATAAGACTCTCCTTAAGTTCTAGGTTTGCTTATTTGCATTTCACCTGGGGACTTACATGGTGAGAGGCAATTTGTAGGTTTGAAGGCATCCAACCATTTCCAGTGATGCAACTTTACGTAATGTAGCTGTTACCTAGAATGATGCCTGTTCATCCTGAAATATGCCTGCGCAGTGCCATGGGCATGGCACGCGGTCCTCTGTGTGTAGCCTCTCATTGACAGAGTGTCCATGGCTGCAAGGGGGTTGGGTTTGGGCTGTAACTGGCCACCACAGCTGGGTTTTGTACCAAAGCCTGGATCCCAGGTTGAGCTCTGTAGGGTGAAAGGACATCCTGTCTTGTTCATAGAAGGTACTTAGCTACATTCACAGCACTGGGATCCCTTCTTCTGCAACCAGTACAAATTCAGTTTAAGATGATCCATGCACCACTCCTGACCCTCTTGGCAGTGGCAGAGCTTCGTTCCGCATGGGTGAGGAAAACAGCTTTGGGCTTCCAGTGTCTCCTAAAATAGTGAGCAAAGTCCCTCCTGCAAGGGGTAGCAGCAGGAGCATCCATTTCTTGCTAACAACAACCAAGTCACTAGCCTGGAGTGCTGATGGAAACACTTTTCCCTCCCATCATCCTACATAACCTGAGAAATGCAAGTTCATTGCCTGGTCTTTAGGTTCTCCACAGGCTTAGTCACAAGTTAGTCCTTAGCAGACTTATTTTATGATGCTGAGACTTGGTTATATGCA